TGTGATTTTTCATCCACCCCCTTCCATCGATTGCTGTGTGAAAACTCCTATCCGGTATTGTAGTGTATGTTCGAAGTATGGGAATGTGGACTTCCAAAAAGCAAAAGCATACGACTTTTTCATTTAAACCAAAAAGAAGATTGACAAAAAGTACAAAAGATCTCCATTATTATATGGTCGATCTTTAGTGGAAGTGCTAATCCAATTCACTGCCCCTAAGCTTTTCACAAATCGGACCAAACATCGTCCGTATACTATTAATTTCTACTTGCCGGTTTTGATTTTATTTTTGGAATTTTATCAATTCACGACTCGAATGATAAACGAATTATCAATCCGGGATCTAAAAGATGAAATACATCGATATATGACCCGAATGTTGAAAAACTATCAATTTAGGACCCGAATGATTGAAAACTATCAATCTAGGGCCTAAGTTGTCAATTTTTTATTTATTTTGAATTTTAAATATTATTTAGTTTTATTAAACTAATAAACTTTTGTGAAGAAAAGTTTATCAAAAACTAGTAATGGAATTAATAAAAAATTAAATAAATCAAAACCTATGAAATGTTAGGTCCTAAATTGATAGTTTTTCATCATTCGGGTCCTATATCGATACATTTCATATTTCGGGTCCTGAATTGATAATTAATACTCCCTCCGTCCCCCAATTAAGTTCCTGGTTTGACTTCACACATATTAAGAAAATAAATTTGACTTTACTGTGAAGTGCACTGTTTTGTACTGTTTAAACACTATTTGGACATTGTTTGACACTGTTTTGATGTAGATTATTTGCCAAATAAGGAAAGTATTGAAGTGTGAACTTAATTTAGGGATTGCCCAAAAAGGAAAGTGAGAACTTAATTGGGGGACGGAGGGAGTATATATTTCGGGCTCTGAATTGATAAAATTCCCATTATTTTTCTTGTTAACTTGTTTTAGGATGACAATATTCCATTCACACGAATATTTCACTCTATGTAAATGGGCAAATCATATGGTAGAACTGGTTGTACCATGTACATGGTACAACCGAATATTTTAAGTTGTGCGTAATGAATATATAGTTAAAATGAAATGAGTGTTAGATGTAAAATTAATTAGATGATAAGTTACACTTTTTAAATCAGAAATTGCCCTAAATAGGAGTAAAAACGTTTTGCAATTCCAAAATAGGACTTATGTTTTTTATTCCCTGAATAAGAGTAATCTGTCAAGTTTAGAAAAAATGCCATGTTTAAAGCCTAGTAATACCAAACTTAGCATAAATTTACTCCTATTTAGGGAATAAAAACATGATAGTCCTATTTTGGAATTTCAAAACATTTTTACTCCTACTTAGGAAATTCTCTCTTTTTAAATATAAAGTCAAACACTCATATGAAAAAGCTAATTAAAGTGGCTTTATATTTCTGAGACGAACTAATTTGATCTATTTAAGTCTAATTTGAACTAATTTAGTTTGTTTAAGTTTGATTTCAACATATATGATTTGGTATTGATAGGGAAATTTGCAATTTTTATGCGGTAACTTTTGACCATTTTCATTATTAGTCTCATAACTTTAGTCACTTGCAAATTTGATCCTGTAACAAATAAATATTAGCGATTTAAGGACTTTCCCCTAAAACTACACTTTCTGGCGATAGTATATAAAAAAAGACGCCTCCGGCGTTGGGTTTTTCAGAAGAAAAGTGTACTTTCTAGTGAAAATTACTTAAATGACAAATATTTATTAGTTACAGGACCAGATTCGAAGGTGATTAAAGTTACAAGATCAATAACGATAATAGTCGAAAGTTAGGAGACTAAAATTGCAAATCACCAATTTGTAACTATCCAATTGATGTATGGTGTGATCACTGATTTGTCTCGATCAAATATGCATATCCATGTTCTTTTCCATGCAATAAGACCTGTTTAAATATGACTCGTTAATTCGACATGTCATTGACATAAATCAAAGTAAACGGTTCACAATCTTTATATACGAAGCACTCGTAGTATATATGAACGGTCAAGCAAAAACGGTTCCCCTAGACATGACATCCTAATGTGTCATGCTGATGTCATCATGCGTTACTATTAGTTTATATACCGTTTAATCATAAAGCGTTCAATAAAAAATAATGAAAAATAATATAGGTACACCATTTTGGGTTACTCCATTTGTATTCCTACATGTGTGGTTCACAAAACGAAACGGGGCAATAAATTTAAAAAACGAACTTTTGTAAACCACACAATGGGATAAGAATGATTCAAAATTAATTCATCAATCACTCGGAATAACTATTTGAGCATGTCCAAGTGTCCAACCTCTATAATCAATCTAAGAGGCCATAAATTGTTCATATACTAGTATCTATGTTGCTTATCAAATAATCTTACAACCCCAATATGGAGTTGCGAGTGGCTTGCCTGCCCCTTATCGTTAAGAAAATCAGGGCTAAGATGGGTTTGATGTAACATAATTTAATGTTATGGATTGTAACCATTCATTTGATTACTTTGCATGGTTACTCAAGTAATACGGATTAACAAGTTATGATCATTAAATAGTTTGCTTTAATTTAATTATTCGTTATTTATGATCACATTTTAGTTTTCAAAGCTGTTTAATTTTAAATTTAGAGGCCGTTTGGCAGTACTCTTTTTCGGCTTATCAGGCTTATCATCCAACTTTTTCACCAAACACGTAATTTTTGCTTTCACGCGTTGAATTGTGTAATAAGCACAAAAAGTAAGGTTGAAGTTACTTTTCTGGTTGTATTGACTGAAGTTACTGTAGATGATCATTTTAGTTATTTTTACATATAATTTGTTCTTTATTTTACTAATAGAATATATTTTAAAAGTATTTTTTTCTTAAATCAGCGGAATCAGCCAATGCTGTCACTTCAGCCAGAACTTCATAAAATTCAGCAAAATCAGCCAAAACAGCCGATTTTCGTCCTACCAAACGGGCTCTTAGTTTTTAAATATCTAATTTTAGTTTTGTTTATAATGGGATCGGAAAAAAGAACTGGATCTATTTGGAGAAGGCAATTGTTTTCCATATTTTTTGGGTGTAAAATTGATAATAAGTCTGTATGTAAGGAACACCACATTGTAAATTGCAATCCCAATCGTATTACGATTGAAAGTGAAGCATCAAACTAAACCTATTGTAATTTGCCACGCAAATAGCTCATTGAGTTGATAACATTACGTTACATATTTGGTCACATCATACCAACATTAAGTACTCAAACTCAGTTATAGATCATGTCCCTCACGCCTCTTGTGGGATATTTTAAAATAATATGATGTTATTGCAAATGTCTCCTCAATTTTCAAGTATATGCAGATTTCAACCCCCTGTTTTTAATCAGTGTACAATCAAGCACTGTGAAAGATCTGATCAGATAAGTATTTTTAGGCTGTGGTTTTAAGAAGGATAATATTGTTGATCGTTATGCCAACTCTAACAACTAAATCAATTAGATTGTTCACTCGTTAGTGCACTTTGGCATGGAGACTAATGTGTAGGGATATATCTTTTATTTGCATAAGGTGATCTCAACTTCATCAGATTAATCTCGTACTCTAAAAAACTCACTCCAAGGTTTTGAGAAAAGTAATTTTAAGTCAATGAACAATTCACTATGTTTCAATTGCTATCTGTACACCATTTTAAGTCAAGAGATCAATATAAACGGGTTGGTAAAAAATCACCAGGTTCCTAGTAAGAAACTAACTTCTTCACTGTCGCTTGAGGCTAAACAAAAGAGTAGTTTGCGCGAGCACTCAAACTAGCTAGATAATTATCATTTGAAAAACACACACACAAATTCACATACTGATCTTGAACTCAAGGCCTTCCACAAAAGAATCTTAAGTGTGGATGTTAGTCTACTTGGACCACTCAAACTTGTCACTCAGGACATAAATTAGTTGTATAGGAGAGACAACTAATGTGTGGACATATATTAGTTATTTGTGTCAATGCATTAGTTATCTTGGAAATTCAAGCACCTAGATACAAAGTCTACATTTTTTTTTTTACAGAAAAGGGCTTACTCCATTCTCATATTTTTACTTGTTTATAGAAACTAATTAAGAAAAGAATGTTTAGCTCGAAAAAACGAAACAAAAAATAAACGTTAAGATGACCATTGACCAACACAACAACCACAACATTCAATTCTTAGTCTAAAAATACTTTGATATCAACTAAAATCGATAGATGATATCAAAGGTAAAAAAGAAAGAGCTACAATGAAAAAAAATTAGATGAGATACAAAAATTAAGAAAAAAATGAGATGAAAGTAAAGATACATATGCCTTTTTAAATAAAAATTAGAAGCACGCTATTAATGCTATGGTAGGAAGTTTTTTAAAAACTTGAGATTAAGAGCATGTCCAACATTACAATGTGCACGGTGCACATGTGACATGAGAGATAGTCACATAAATATTAGTAAATACATTTTTCTCTCTCTTTATTTGAATGATTTTGTACAGTTTTGGTAAGTTTTTCTCCACAATGTCAAGGAGACCGTCTAGATGTTGACACTGCAGTTGACATTGCAGGGAAAAACATACCAAAATTGTATAAAATCATTCAAATAAGGACATAAATAATTTATTTGGTAATATTTATGTGGTCATCTCTCGTGCCACATGTGCACCGTGCACATTCGAGCATTGGAGATGCTCTAACTGTTTCTACTTACATTTTTTCAAAAAAAAAAAAAAAGAAAACTGTTTGTATTTACATAAAAATACTCCGTATCAAATATAGCACTCATTTTGTAAATTGTACTCCGTATAAAAAATAAACTAAAGCAAACGAACTAAAGTAGTGATGGGAAGGAGAGTTCAGAGTGTACTACATAGTACGTTCCACCCAATTTTCCACCCAATTTATCAGTTATTAGTGGTTCTAATTAAAGGAACAATTAAATGGTAAAAAAAAACAAAGAGGACAAATTAGTTACACGACACAGGCTAAAAAGTCACAGCCCAACAGTAGTAGAAGCCCCCCTCTATTTATTCTTCATAAATAAGGAAACCTTCTCTTCACCTCCCCACTTCTCCACTGCCAAGCTACTTCATTCTTTGCTGGTGGAAGGCAATTAATTCCTTCCAAACTATTCATTTCAATACCCAGTCTAAGTTTCTGACCAATTTCAGTTCATACTCATTCTCCCAGGAAGAAAAACTACACACACAAAAGCAAAAATGGCTGTTCTTGAACTTCTTTTAGTGGGAATTATGGCCATATTGTCTCCGGTGCACGGGTACGGTGGCTGGAGCAGAGCCCGTGCCACATTCTACGGCGGGGGCGATGCCTCGGGAACAATGGGTATGGTTCTCGTTTCACGTTTCTCCATGTTTTTCGCGTTTTCGTGCAGCATAGCCCTAAACTGCAATAAGTAATACTATTATAACAGAAGTAATAACCTCTAACTCATAATGAACAGGTGGAGCATGTGGATATGGGAACCTATACAGCTCAGGCTATGGAACCAACACTGCAGCTTTGAGCACTCCTCTGTTTAACAATGGCCTGAGCTGTGGATCCTGTTACCAGATAATGTGCGTCAATGATCGGTCATGTGTTCGAGGAATTATTACCGTCACTGCCACGAATTTCTGCCCTCCTGGGGGCTGGTGTGAGCCTCCAAACCCTCACTTTGATCTGTCTCAGCCTGTGTTCCTAAGAATTGCACAATATAATGCAGGAGTTGTTCCTGTTTCTTACAGAAGGTAAAAATCTTACTCCGTACTTCATCCCACACTTTCATGGTAGATCTTAAGTTGCAATAACGGTAACACTCTGGTGGGGTAATAGCTGTCGAAGCGGTGTGAATTAGTTTTACGTTCGAACGAAATAAGTAAAAAATTAAGTTACTGTTCGATTCCGATGTGGCTCAAATGCAACCCTGCCAAATCATATGTGATCGTGGCAGACGGGGGCGTAGGTAGAGGTGGGCCATGTTAAGTCCCTGCCCACCCGAAGTTCCAAATATATATTTATGTTAAAATTTTGGAGTAAAAATTTATCCCACCACATCTAGTATTTACTTCCTATAAATTTGATAGTTTAAAACTATGTACTCAGTAGCTTATTTGTTAAGATTCGGAGTTACACCTACAAGGTGAACCTGATAGCAAGACTAACCCGTATCTTAATATATACACTTTGTAGCATTTTATTACTTCATACTCCCTATGATTTAATAGGGCTACACACTATGATTATGGATTTCTCAAATATGTTAGGACTCAAAGTTCGATTCTAAAAAGTCAACTTGATAGGAGGAATAATCTGGATCTTCATAGTGGTATAACATTTATGACTTCATACTTTTCCAAGACTTCAACATTATTTGTCAGCTAATTTCTTTTCTTTATGAATGTGGCAGGGTGCCCTGCATGAGAAGGGGAGGAATCAGGTTCACCGTGAACGGACACGCTTTCTTCAACCTAGTTCTGGTGACAAACGTCGGCGGTTCCGGCGACGTACACGCCGTGTACATAAAAGGATCGAAAACCGGGTGGCAGATGATGTCCAGAAACTGGGGGCAGAACTGGCAGAGCAATGCCAACCTTAACGGCCAAAGCCTCTCTTTCAGGGTGGTTACCGGAGACGGCCGCAGCCTCGTGTCGTACAACGTCGCTCCTCCGTCGTGGTGCTTCGGTCAGACCTACACCGGCCGCCAGTTCCGCCTGACTTAGCTGCCCGGAAAAAGGAGATCCTCACTGGCCGGAAGGACAATATATTTTTATTACTCCAATTTTTAAAGGGATTAGTTTTGGAGAAGTCCTTTTAATTTACTCTTTTTAGCCATGCCAAAAATTGGCCTGGTGATTTATTTAATCAACAAGAGACAGGTGGGTGTTGTACGCGTGAGGATTAAATTTCTACTATTTTATTGTTGTTAATTAATGTTATGCAGAAAAAACCTATCTGCATAACTGTGGAAGGCATAAAATTTCCATTTTTTCTGTTTGTAATTAGTAAGTAATAAATAGGATTAAGGGGTAATCAGCTAATGCTGAGAGTGGAGGCAGTGGTCTGTTGTACTTTTGGAGCAATGGGTTGTGAAGGTATGATAAAAGAAGCCTTCCATGCCGGCCAGCAGCTTATTCTGATTTTTCATTCTCAAATACTCGTATGAAGTATAATATTATTGTAATTCCCTAGTATGATCATCGAAAATAATGCAATCAGCTTCTAATTGTCACAATGCATGGTTCGAAAGAGGGATTCAAGATTTGTAGAGACATTTAAAAATTTTGAGGAAAATAAATTTATAAAAGTTGCACAATTTTTGATGAAAATAGGATTAAAATATACACAAAATTCAAAATTAAACTTAGTATCAGTATGTTTTATTCCCTAAAGACTTATTTAGTCTTATTAAACGAATAAGTCGATTACAACTTCTTAATATAGGAGTGAATGAGTCCTATTCTTTGTTTCAGTCTTATTTAAGTAATTTTCTCAAAATTTGTAATTCTTACACTTAAGAACCCCATAGTTAAATACTGCTAAAAAATATTTCATTTAAGTGTCCTTGACCATTTATATAATGGTAGATTCTATGGTACTTATAAGATACCATACCTTTGTCCACATGGACCAATGAGAATGTAGCAGTTGAATTATTTAAATCTAAATTAAAAATGATAAAGTGATGTGGTCCAATCAAATGAATGGTAGGTAAGGTACCCCACATTTTAGAAGGGTACCGGAGTTGTCACCTTATATAATTTCATACATATTGGGGACATTTGTGTCTTACCATTAAGTTTTTTTTTGCCTTTTTTTTTTTTTGACGCAAAAGGCTTAATTCATTTCATCAATCACAATGTTCTCAATACAATAAGGAACAGATAAAAAAATTGTGCAAGAAGCATAACTAGTAGATGCTCTAGCAAGAGCATGAGCACTACTATTAGCTTGTCGCCTAGCAAAAACGACACAGAAATCGTTATTAGACCCAACAATATTCCTACAATCATGTACTAGAGATCCATATTCAGATCGATCCTTGTGTGCGTTGTAAATATCATCCACCAACTGCTTGCAATCAGACTCGAAAATAACTCTTATATACTCAGTCTCCTGCATCCATTTAAGAGCTTCCCTCAAGCTCCAAGCTTCTGCCTCAGCTGGACTCATTTCCGCTCGCATCCATGAAGTTCGGGCCCTGGAAAATCTCCCCATATGATCCCTAACGCAGCAGCCAAATCCCACTCGTTTATTTCCTGAAAAAATTGCAGCATCAATATTGCACTTAACAAAACCAATTTGTGGCCTGCTCCACCTGATAACATTTTGTTTGCTTTCCTTTCTATCACCTTTCGAACCTTGGCCAGCTTCCCATGAATGTAGCACTTCAGCCCCTCGAGATATCACCTGAGTAATCGTTTCTTGTATACCATCCCAATATAAAACATTCCTTTTCCGCCAAATGCTCCACATAGTCATCCCAAACAATTTCAACTTGTTATCAGATAACTCACTGATCACAGTTAAGAAAAATTCCACGAAATTTTCAGCCCTATCCATGACAGTGTCCAAGTCTTCCCACATACCTATCTTTCTCCAGCAAGCTATACTATCCGCACAAGATAGAAAAATATGCCATGAGTTTTCCGGTCCACCATTGCACGAATCACATACCTCTGTGTTGCCCACTCCCCGTGATCTCAGCTTGCTCTTGGTCGGTAAGCAATCCCTCCCCACCCGCCAAAGAAAGGTGCGGATCTTGGGCGGAATTGGCAGCCTCCATATTCTCTTCCATCGGCCATCCTTTTTAAGATGTTTGGTATCTACCAAAGAATTCATGCAGGCTTTGTAGGCACTCCTAACCGAGAACATACCGTCTTTCGTAAAACGCCATATAGGAATATCTTCATGGTGAAGTCGTATAAGAGGGATCGAAAGGATATTTTCTGCATCTCGATTGCTGAAAATGCTTCTAATGAATGCCTCTCTCCAAGTGCTTCCTTCGCGGTCAATCAATTGTGCTACCTTTAGTTCTTGTAGTTCAAGTTTCGGTGGCGTATGCAGTTTAGGGTCTTCTTCATTTCGTAACCAAGGTTGAGTCCATACATTGATAGATTTTCCATTACCAATGCTCCAGCGGTATCCATCCTTTACTATAGCTTGGGCTGACCAGATGCTACGCCAACAATAACTGGGATTATGTCCTAAGGACGCCCCAAAATACTCCCCTCTAGGGTAATATCTAGCTTTGATAACTCGTGATACCATAGCCTCCGGGTCAGAAATAAGTTTCCAACCTAGTTTCCCCAACATAGCAAGATTGAACCCGTGGAGATGGCGAAAACCCATGCCTCCTTCCTCCTTCGAAATTGTTAATTTCTCCCAACTCAGCCAGTTAATGCCTTTACCCTCTCTTTTTCTTGAGCCCCACCAAAAAGAATTCATCATTTTCTCCAACTCTTCTTGTAATGAGCAGGGAAGCAAAAAAACACTCATACAATATGTAGGAATAGATTGTAAGACAGATTTAATAAGTACCTCCCTGCCAGCTTGAGATAACATTTTACTACTCCAACTCGAAATCTTCTTCCATACTCTATCCTTGATGTAATTAAAGATTGCTTTCTTTTTCCGCCCTAACATAGATGGCAGCCCGAGGTATTTACCGGTTCCAATACATCGTTTGACTCCAAGAATGCTGGACAGATGTTCACATGTAGAATCATCAATGTTCTTGCTAAAAAAGACCTCTGATTTTTGCTGATTTATAATCTGCCCTGAGGCTTTCGCATAGACATCAAGGATATGCTTCATTTTCCTGGTTTCTTCTTCTTTCGCTTGGAAGAAAAAAAAACTGTCGTCCGCAAAGAATAGATGACTTATTGTTGGTGCTCCACGACATATTCTCACTCCATGTAGCTCCCCCAATCTCTCCGCTTGCCGAATAAGCGCTGTAAGTCCCTCTGCACATAAAATGAAGAGATAGGGGGACAGTGGGTCCCCCTGTCTCAGACCCCTTTGAGGAACAATTGGCCCAATACGATCATCATTAACAAGAATTGTGTACCGCACAGCAGTAACACACATTTTTATCCACATGATCCACGTCGTATTAAAGCCCAATCGCTCCAAAATTGCCCAAAGATAGCCCCATTCCACCCGATCATAGGCCTTACTGATATCAATCTTGAAAGCAGCCCCGCCCCTCGTGCCTCCTGTTTTACACTTCAGATAATGAATAATTTCATTAGCAATTAAAACATTATCCAAAATGCTCCTTCCAGAAATAAATCCCGACTGCTCCACCGAAACACATCTATGAAGTATTTTCTGAAGTCGGTTTGCTAGGACTTTAGCTACTATTTTGTAAACAACATTACAAAGAGAAATGGGTCTAAGATCACCCATAGATATAGGCGTATCGCATTTAGGGATTAATACAATATTTGTTTCGCCTATCACTTCTGGGAACCGCCCTTCGGTCAACCACTTTCTGCCTGCCTCAACTATGTCTTCCCCACAAAGCTTCCAGAATCTTTTATAAAAGGCCGGATTGAGGCCATCCGGTCCAGGGGCTTTGTCTGAATGCATCTGGATCATGGCTGCTTTGAATTCATCATCCACAAATGGGGCCGTCAACGTACTGTTAATCTCCTCGGTGATGCACGGTTTAAGAGCTGCCAGCACTAGGGAATAATCCACATCACAAGAATTAAAAAGATTAGTAAAATAGGACTGCACCACTGCAGCAATACCTTCCTGTGATGTTACTAAAATTCCATCTTCATTCTTGAGGCTAGTAATTTTGTTTCTTTTCTTTCGGGAAGTAGCAGCAGCGTGAAAGAATTTAGTATTCATGTCTCCATCCCGCATCCAAAAAGCCTTCGCTCTTTGCTTCCAGAAAGTCTCCTCTTGAGCAAGGAGTTTAGCCAATTCTCGCTGCAGGATTTTAGCTTCATGAACTGCTTCGTTTGAAAGAGACTCTCTTGCAAGTGCTAGTTTAGCTCTGCATTTATCAATAGCTTCTGTGTGTCTTCTTCTCAATTTCCGCCCCCAAGCATCTAGTTTAACGGTACAGCGTTCCAGCTTACTGAGCAATGGGTCTCCTGTGGATTCTTTCCATTCCCTCTCAACTACTATATTAAGTTCGGGTTCAACAAGCCATGAATTCTCAAACTGAAATCTTCTTTTCCTGAACATGCATACTTGAGACTTCGTGTTAAGCAAAATAGGAGAATGATCAGAGTGAGAGGCTACCAGATTGTGTAATATACTGGTTGGAAAGCGCTGCAGCCACGCCTCTGTTCCCATAGCTCTATCAAGCCTTTCCTCTACCGACTCGTCAGAATCTAGGCTTCTCCACCAAGTAAAGGGCCTGCCTTCGAGCTGAATATCCACTAATCCACAGTCAGTTATTGCCGCTCTAAAACCATTTATTAACCAGGTAGGGTGCTCTACCCTTCCTCTCTTCTCCTCATGAGCCAAAATGTCGTTGAAGTCTCCGATAACACACCATGGCAATCTACAATTGCTAGCTATCCTTCTAAGAATATCCCAGGATTCTCTTCGATGTTGTCTATCCGGAATGCCATAGAATCCTGTAAGTTGCCACGGTTGAGTAGATTCCTCTTTAACCAAAACATTAATAAAATTTTTTGAAAAATTGATTAGTTCAATGAGACTGGAAGATCTCCAAAGAATCGCTAGTCCACCACTTCTTCCCTCCCTGTCCACTACAAAATAGGCCTCAAAACCCAAAAGTCTACGAATTGCATCCACCTTATTAGAAGAACATAAAGTCTCACAAAGGAAAATAACATCTGGCTTATTATGCCGAACTAGGTCTCGAAGTGCCGGAACTGCACGCGGGTGACCCAATCCCCGGCAGTTCCAACTTAAAATAATCATTGGTCCTGGTGGGCCTGGGACCCAGGACCCACCCCAAAAAAATTTTTATCAGCGATGCCTGATGTACTAGTTGAGCGGTCTGTAACTTTTGGTTGTGACTCTTCGGCAAGTCGTTTTCTTTTCCTCTCTGCAGCTAGTTCATTATCCTCCGTCTGCATTTCACTACTGCATTGGGCAGCTTGATCAGTAACCTTACTACTCTGTTGTTGATTTATGCCTTTGACATGTTCTCCCCATTGCCCACCTGTGTCATCCCTCAACCATCGACACCCCCCTGAAGCCCCTGTCTTCCTTCTGTCTGCCCTTAACTCTATGTTCCAGCCTCTTACTCCATTGTCCTCTTGCATTTGAAATAATTTGTCGCATTGGGTGTCTAAATGGCCCAGTACTCCGCATAAGAAGCAAAAGGTGCTCAATCTTTCATATCTAAAACGAACCATTTTAATTTCCCCACTGACCAGCCTAATTTTTTTCCCCCTCTTCAAGGGATTACGAACGTCTAATGTGACTCTTATGCGCATATACTTCTTCCAGAGACCCTCATTGTTCTTAGGATCATA